GGGCGAAGGACCCAGCAGTACCAGTACCCCCAATACAGTCAATGCAGGCCGCGCTGTTTTCTCTGAAATCGATGAACGGCTGACGGCGCTGCAGCGCTTTCTGCGGTCAACCCGAGAGAGTTTCCGCCTAATGGAAACGGGTACTCTTGGGGCTTGATCCAGCACAGCTCTCTAGCTGCGGGGTTTTGTTTTGTTTTGTTTTGTTTTGTTTTTTGTTTCGTTTTATTTTATTATTTACCTTGTTTTGTTTGGCTTAATATGTATTATGCTAGACCAGATATGCTTACAGATACAGGGTAGCGACGCGAGTGCAACGCGTCAACAGCACGAAAGTTTCTCTCCTCTCACGCTAAGGGGAAGATACCAAACTCAGAAAAAGGTTGTTTGTTTAGGGAGTACCAAAGGAGGAATAGATTCACCCTAACCCTGCCGGCTGCTTCGATTTATGTTAATCTGCAGCTCCTTGTGTTACGTACTGCAGGCATTCATGCATCCATCAAGTAACTCTATAGCTGTTCACATTCTCCTTAAGGGTACTACTAAACAGCGTCTGGGTTTACGGTGTCTGTGTCGTCGTCGCCCTGTATGCGAGACACACCAACTCATGAGCGGGCCTGCCACTGCACCGTTTGGCCTCGCTGCTGTGCGTTCTTGAATTCGGGTTTTACGGACGCTGCACATACACCCGAAGAAGGAACAAGCAACTGGTTGTACTTTGGGTATCCCGAAGCAGCTGAAACGCAGCCAGCTGATGTGCTGTTGCTGCAGCCGTTCACTGCCGCAGCGCTCCTGTTAAGCTTTGCTTCTTCTCTCGACAGAACCTGCATTTCCGCGGGGCTCAAGCAGCCTAAGCTTGCAGATATATCTATGGGAGTGACCTCAGGATAATAACGCGGGGCCAATGAACAACCAGGAGAAACGGTGCACTGCTCCCCCGAAGAACCCATAGCTGGGGTCTTCTCTGATGCACGCAGGTGGTCGTTCGCACTGCAAAAACAAACAAAGTCACAGCCCCTCAAATACCACACACAGATCAGCACAGATACAGCCCGCGGAGTAAGGATGCCAGAGGGGGCCCCTCTGGGGGCCCCCCGACATCGACAATGCACATGCTGCACAGCGTACAGCTGTAAGATCAATTGTACGACCGCTTACAGCCCAGCTTAAAGGGATAACCTCTCTGTGCATTTCATTATAACCAGCCACTGACTCCGTATGGATAAAAACAAAGAAAGGGCACTAACGCCAGAACGAAGGGAAATGGGGTTTCTCAGTAGTTGCGAGGTGAACAAGCACATAGACGAACATACCTTCCTTCCGGAGAGAATACAGGCTCCAAAGAAATACGAGGATCTGCATGCAATGCCTCAGCCGTCTTTTTTTCAATAGGGCTGCAGTCCTCGCGAGACAACTGAGCATACGCACCACACCACCGCATTCACCCCCAAACCAGCAGATGCCTTTTCTATAAACTTCTGCCACGATCCAGTGATAAATATAAATGAAAAAACGAAACAAATAACAGCAAAGAGGGAGAAACAGCCTCAAGAAAGCTGTACGAAAAGCCCAAAGGGGAGAATTCAAGTTTTTTGCTTACGTAGCCTTGGTAGTCTGCACTAACGCTGGCGGCTTCTTCGGCAAGTGTCGGCGTATCACCTAAATACAAGCAAACAATAATAAATAAACATAAAGAAAGAAATGAAAGAACAAACAAACAAACCAATATATATGCAAACACCAAACTACCAACAAACAAACGAACACACAAGCAACAACCAAGTAATACAGCAGCAAATTAGGAGCAAAAAACTGAATCTGCATGCGTGCTGCAACCCCAAAACCAAAGCAAAGACCCAACAACAACAACGACCACCACCACCACCAAGGAAGCAAAAGAACAACTGAAAAAACTAAAACGCAACTGAAGAAGGAAATAAAGACGTACACGGAACAGAGGAACCCCGAGATGCCTTTCTACTATCATTTGAGGCGTTCATTGGAGTCAACGAATCTTCTCGTTTTATATCTTCCTCGGTTTCTTTCCCCGCTGGGGTTTCTGTGAAAGGCAGCCGCGTGTGCAGGTCCTGCATATCAAGCGCAGAAACAACTATGACCAGAATGAAGTGAACCCTTCAATATTAATGTTATTCTTAGTATTATCTTTATTATCTTTATCATTATTTTTATTATTTATATCTCACTGCTGCTTGATCAGAAGCCCCTGAACCCATACCAGCAGCCGCAGTTGAATTTCTAAGAAGAAGATGCTCGCCAAGCTTTCGTCTGTTTGCTGCTGCTGCAGTGACGATTTGTTCTGCTTTCTGCGCGATGCTGCTTATTTTTCTCTCCAATACATTCAACTCTTCCTCTACAATTTCCATCCTCTTATCTCTGCTTGCCACCGCGTCAGCCAGTAACCTCGCCTGTGCATGCAGTACTTCATTCTGCTCAGAAAGGGCAGCTGCAAGTTTAACCCGCAGAGACAACTCCTGCTGAAGTTCAGGTTCTCCTATTTGCGCCTGCTGCTGCAGCTGCTTGAGCTGCTGCGGATGCATATGCATATGCTGTGGCTGCAGTAGCTGCTGCGGCTGCTGCGGTTGTAGTAGCGGCTGCGGCTGCTGCTGTTGCTGCGGCTGCTGTAGCTGCTGCTGCTGCTGATGCATGTACTTTTCCTGCTCGTTCTCTAGCTCTGGCATCTCTCTCTTTGCAGCAGCCTCTGCATATGCTTGGCCGCCGGATCCATGTCTCGAGATTACGACTTGCTCTCCCTCTGTTTTTTGTCTCTGTTCGCTTCCCTGTTTGTTCGGCGTATCTCTCGCATGTTGTATTTCTTCATTCTCCTCCTCCCCTGGCTCTCCGCTGGCTGCCTGTGTGGGTGTTCCTGCTGCAGCAGTTCCTGCTGCAGCGTCTGCTGTCGGTTGCTGCAGCTGCTCCAACGGCGGGAAAGTCAGAGAGAAGACGCGGGGGTTCGCCTCTATGAACTGCTGCCCCAGTTTATAGAAGACCTCCACCGGCACAGGCAACGGCACCGCGCCCCCAGACAATGCAGTCACCAGCTCCTTGAGCGACAGTATCTCACGCTGACGAGAACTGAAAGAAGAAATACAGCAGTAAATAACAGCAGCAACAGCAGCAGAGACAGCAGCAGCAGCAGCAGCAATGAGAATTGATAATCCTTATCTCTAGCTCAGCATCTCAGCTGTCTATCTGCACGAGGTGGCGGTGGGTGGCTGTCTCTCTTTGCCCCTTAAACACCCACCTGATTTCGTCCTGAAGGCGTCGTTGTTTATCTAAAGGAGAAACAGAAACACATTGCATACACTGCAGCAAAAGTACTTGGTGGCTGCAGCAGGAGGATAAACATGTGCTGCAGCACCACCAACATACACCAGACCCGAGCTGCACGAAATTTCGTGCAAATGTAGCATCCCCACTCACCGATCAAAGCCGCAATGTCGTGCTCTTGAGGGGCCTCTGAACTCTTAGGCGGCGTCGCTGCTTTGGCTGGGGTGTCTGGCGAGAGAGATAGAGAAACACACGCACGAACACAGGAGAAGCGGTGAGCAAGCAGCAGGTCACAAGCCATGTAATAAAAACTGCACCAACAGAACAACAAAAAAAGGAAAAAGAAATACACAACACAGGCCGGAGAAAGAAGGCTATTCAGTACTATAAAGGAATCATAAAGAAAAAAAAAAACGAGGGGTCTTTGGCTGCAGCAGTGCACGGCAAAAAAGGTGAGCTCACGGTTCTTTGTTTTCTTTACAGTTTCTGCATGACTTGCTGCTGCTTTTGTCTTTTTTGGTTCTGCAGCTCTGCGCGTTGTTTTCCCCTTCTTCGCGGCGGGTTTGGCTGCCGCCCCGCTGGGGTTGTTGCGGCGGCCTGCAGCAACAGCAGCGGCAAGAAAGAGGTGCAGCAGCAAGATAACAGCAGCAGCAAGCAGCAGCAGCAGCAGCAGCAGCAGGAAGAAATATGTACAGCAGCAGCAGGAGAGAGATGCAGCAGCAAGAAGAAAGAAGTGTAGCTGCCAAAAGAGTAACATGCAGCAGCAGCAGCAAAGCAAGCAAGAAAGCGGCGTAGCAATAGCGCAACGAGCATAGTCAGCTGCAGCAGAGCGCAACCCTCTAACCAGTTTATACAGAAGTATAGAGAGCCACAGACTTTAGTTATGTGGTGTATGCCTCCCCCCCAAACCCTCCGCTGTTGTCTACAGTTGCTGCTACACCCCAATACGCTATTCATGATTCAGGTTTCAGGGATGAGCAAGCATCATATACACCATTTGACACGGCATCTTATACACCAGATAATTAATTATTTTAATTATGCTTTAATAGGGTAAACTGCAGATGATTTAATCACGCAAAGAAATGTAATAATCAAGCAGCTTACGAGGTTTCGCTGGGCTCGCCATTGTGGCGTCGGGCGTCGGTGTGCAAGCAGAAAGAAAAGGCACAGCTGATGCTTGAGCATGAACTGCTTCTTTAATTGGTTTTTAATATTTAATTTGTGTGATAAACAGAAAATACAGCGGCGATGATGGAGGTCGTCGCCGTGTGGCTGCTGTCTACGGAGCCGAATCGAAGCAGATATTCCCCCCGCGTATTGAACAATTAGTAAATAATAAACAAAAGCAACAAAATAAAATGGAGAAGAGAGCAATTAAGCACTCAAGGAATACCTCTATTCACCGGCCGGCGTCAGCAGCTCAGGACCCGCCTTCCCTTGCTGAGTCTCGGCAAGTGTATTGCCATTAATATTTACAGGAAACGAAATAAACCCTTTTTACAACAATATAAACCTTTTTAATTTATGTTAATCCTTGCAAGCATCAGAGGAAGCGGCGGCGGAGGCATGGGCTCGCCCGCTTTGCATGTTTCGTGTGTGACCACTGGGCAGCGAGTCTCTATGGTATAGGTGAATCGTCGTTCCTTGCTTTATTCTTTATCTTTTTTCCTTTTTTCTCCACTATTTTATATTTAATATGTATTTTTTGTTTTATTTCTTTATTTAGCTAGCCCCTTATGCTCAATAGGTTTCAAGGGTGTTGTCTATTCGGCGCTTACACATCATCGACGATGCATATTCACGAGAAAGCGATTTCAGTTTATCTTTGAGTAAAAGTAAAATGATAAAAATTGTTTAGAGTTGAGGGTTTAGAGAGTAGAACTTGGGGTTTCGGTTGTAGATATTAGCAGTGCATGGTGTCTCATCGACGGTAGCAAGTGAAAGAGAACGCCAATTGAACAGAATTAGTAATATAATAAGCGTTTATACAGAACTATCATTATAGATTGTTCTTTATTTATTTATTTATTTATTCATTTATTCCATTGTGCTGTGAGGCACAATACAATGCGGGCTTAAGCCGTGCAGAGATATGTATGTAAGGCCGTTATACCATGTAGTGAAACGGCAGCATAAAAAGGAGAAAGCAGCGGGATTTATGAGAAAGGGAAATGAGAAAAAAAAAAAAAAAAAGAAGTACAAAGGTGTTTAGTTAGTGGGCGGCTCGGAAAAAGAAAAAAAGAGAAAGTTTAATGACCAAGAGAACCAGAAAAGGGTAGATGAAAGCAGGCGCTTAATTAACAAAAAAAACCACAGAAATGTCTAGTTAATAGGAAAATCATCATGCAATAATTACATGTACACTTGTATTGAATAACTAGATATATATAATATATATATATATATATATATATATATATATTTATACATGGTACCAGTGTGTATATATATACACGCACTTGTATGTACTAGACAATGTGATGCGTATATATGCAGACTCTGTATACATTAAATAGTATAATAATTATACATAAACACTCAACAGCATAACAATACAAAACATTTTTATTTAATATTCTTGTTTTCACGTTCAGAGTCGCTACATATAGAGGCTACACACAAGCTAAACGCATCTATGCAGGTTAATAGAAAATTAAAACAGCTTCATGCAGAGCAACAGAAAGACGAAAAGTAGAGATGTGCGATCAACTAAGGTGATATATATATATATATATATATATATATATATATATTCTTTGGGGTGTTTAGAAAAGAGATTTTAGAACTAGACNAGATATATATATATATATATATATATATATATATATATATATATATATATATAGAGCTAGGGAACAGAGTACAACAAGAGACAGCAGATCTATAGCGCTTGCTTTCTGAGCTTAATCAAGCACAGAAGGGAGCTGCAATGTATGTAAATGCTTAAAGTAAGAGTTTCCCTTCTCCTTTTCTCAGGCGTTCTGGTTGTTGAGCTGACGCTTTGGTGCTGCGGCAGCGCGCCCCGCTGCCGCTGGCAATACAAGCCAGGCTCAGCACGAGAAAGCTTCATCAGAGTTCCCTTTATTGCATGCTTTGCATATTCATATACTTGTGGAACAATTGTGTTTGCTTATACGCAACATACCAACGCCAAGTGAAGGCTCTTGTGTCAGCTGCAGGCAGACCATGCTACAAGATCATAATACTACAATACAGCAGAGTATAGCGCTAGATACGAAACTATAAAACTAGACAACGGAGTTATAGAAAGAAGTGATAAAAGGCCAATGAAGATTACAGGGGAAAACAAGAGGCGATACCCCCCTTCACGGCTCCAGGGCTGAGAAAGAAGATGCTGACGGGGGTTTACTTGTATCTTATTGGAGCTGTTTAGTTAGTACTTCATTCCCCCTTGTGATATTCTTTTTGTTCAAGGCGGATATCGTAAACATGCAAACACGCTTCATAAGCAGTTGCCTAGCAAAAGAAGTTGCAACAAGAAATGCAGTAGTAACCCCGGATAGGGGCTTCAACGGACAGACACGGGGTGAGGGGAGAATGTAATGATCAAATTGTGATAAATAAAATATTTGATTAAATTATGTTAAATAACTTATTTACAGAAAACGCACACCTCCTGGGGTTCTTCATACAAGTGGCTAAGTGGCGCTGGCCAGCTGGGGAACTGCAAATGTTGGATTCTGAGGGGGGAGGAAAAGACCGAAGAAGTCCCAAGATAGGCGAAATATTAAATAGAGAATGATGTAGTTTAATGAAACATTAGTTTCAGTCTATTTGCGTATATTTATTTGCTATCCCCGTTGAGCATAGGCTAAGAAAACGTGGGGAAGGTCGTAGACACCGACGGCTTCGTTGCGAGATACCGCTTTTAAATCTAAAATTATTAAAATTATTTAGAGCAATAAACGAAACGGAATATGCTAGGAGTGGAGGGGACTGACAATGTAGACGGCCGGAGTACAGGAGGCGGTGAGCCTATGACGTGGGCGGTTCAGTATCAGATACATATATCATCAGTACGCGGGTTTGCAGATTAAGGATATATTTTTAATTGAAAAACAATTATATTTATATTAGCATCATTAATATTCGTTAAAGAAAATACGGAGGAGGCGCCCGCACCACATAGTGAGCGTGAGGGCGTTTGTAGGCGGAGTTGAATACGCGGCGGGTGCCTCATCTATATGAGAGCAGAGAGCAGCCTTTTCGGCCTTGATCTAAGCAAACGATTGCAAAAGGCGATTTCTATTGTATAAAATATTAAATATATATGAAATGAGGATTTCTTCGGCTCGAAATACTAAGCATAAACCACAAATTCCGCCTCGCCAGAGGAAGTTGCAGCGCTTAGTGACGGTAGAGCTGGTTGGCCGGGTTGGCCTAGAGGCAGTCAAGCGGAGGTTGCTGGGGCGTATACAGGCGATATGAGCCGCAAAAGGAGCGAAAGAACTGAATAAATTTAATTAAAAAAAGAAGATGATGACGTTTGTATGGTAAACAAAAGAGAGGTAGCTCGATCACCGTCATCCTGTTGCTCTGTTCCCCACAGCAGGTGCTGCTGGTGTTCTGCTGCACTCGGGGCAGCAGCCGCTTGTGGTTTGCTGCCGGGTATCGGCTCTCCTGCATACTGGTTTTTTTCTGCGTATTAATTTTGGTTGATTAATCTTATTTACTGTTTCTTCTTGTGGTTTTTCTTGGCATTTGCCTTTATTTCCTGCCTCCGGCTTGCACAGGATGAGGCTCATAGTGGGCTTGGTTGGCCTCGTGGCCGTGCTGCAGTGCTGCCCTTTAGCTGCGGTCGCTGAAGGGGATAAAATGCTAGATGTCGCAGCTAAGAAGGCAGTAGAAGAGTCTGTAGCTGCTCCTCTCTCAGAATTTTGGAAAGACTTATACGACCTTGTGGTGCGCAAGCAAGGATCGAAGGCGGCCCGCCGCTTGCGGTACATGGTGAGTGCAGATGCGTGTTTCCTCTTTATCTATTTGCATGCACTTGTTGCAGTTGCATTCGTAGATTACCCTTGATGCTACTGTTTATCCCTGTTGTCGCTGTTGTCGTTGTTGCTGCTCTACTGCGGCCTCCTGGGCGCGTGTGTTTCACCTGTTCTCTATCCCGTTTCAGCTCCATATGTTGCTGTAATACAGCCCCTGAAATGTTTATTTGCCTCTTCTGCAGCACCGTATATCTCTGCCTGCTGTTTTATTGAATCCCCCACGTGTATATATGATATATAAATGCGTTTCTGTCGGTGTTCGTGGTGGTGTTTCCCTTCAGTTTGCTGGCCTAGGGGGCAAGAACGAGGCGCTGCAGCTGGCTCGGTTCTTGATGGAACGACTAAAGAAAGATGTATTCCAGGGCCGCGTCAACCAGCAGACGTGGGATGCGCTGACGATGGAGCTGTATGAGGCGCTGCGGGACTGGTGGTCTCTGACCCCCGAGAACCCCCGCGACGCAGCAGACTTGGGGGCCTGGCAGGCACTTGTAAACCTGCATAAGAATGTTATGGGCCCAGCACTCCGAGGCAGCAGCCGCGTCAGCAACATCAACGACCTGCTGCTCGACCCCGAGCTACAAACCATCAGACGCTGGGTCAACGACTGGAGGGGAACACCCACACCACAGCCGGAGAAGGCAGCAGAGGGCGGTACAGGAGGAAAAGCAGACAGCAACTAAATTCTTATGTTGCTTATTCACGATTGAAATAGCTGCTTAAGTCCGGCTGGGGCTCGGGGTCAAAGCGCAGCAGCACCAGCAGCAACAGAAGAAGCAGCAATAGAAGCAGCAGCAGCAGCAACAGCAGCAGCAGCAGCAAGAGAGTTTCGTTTTAAGGCCTGGAGGTTATCGCAAGGCGTTCTTTCTTTCTCCTGCGTGCACAGCGTCTTCTTCTCGGGGCCATAAGTAGTGTTTGTTGTTCAATGCGACGGGCGAACCACCTGACTCTTCTCTTGTGCTGCTGCTGTTGCTGCTGCTGCTGCTGTAGTTGCTGCAGCAGCAGCTGCTGCTGTAGTTGCTGCAGCAGCAGATGCTGCTGTAGTTGCAGCAGCAGCTGCTGCTGCTGCTGTTCCTCTGGCCGTTTCTGTGTAAACGCGGCCTAGTTAGTTCAGTCCACTTGTTATTGAATCCGTTCGTGGTGCTGCTGCTGCTGCTGCTGCTGCTGCTAATACTCTTGCTGCTGATGATGCAGCACCTGTATTATAATGTGGGGTTGTTGCTTCAACCCATCTGTTTTTAATTCTCTTGTTAGAGTCAGTGGCGCGCAGCGGGCGGCGCTGAAACCGGAAAGAGGTTCGTCTCGCCGGGCCGCCAACAGCAGACTAAACAATAAAAAATAAACAATTAAAATATAAATAAACAATTAAAATATAAATTAATAATTAAAATTAATATTCATACAAATGAAAACACAAACTACAACAAAAAGGCATACATAACAAACACAACAACCGGAGGGAGACGAACTACTTTTTGCCGGGGGAAATAAAGTGTTCCTTGTTATTATATTTCTTTTCTTTTTTGTTTTTTTTTTTTGTTTTTTTTGTTTTTTTTTTTGTATTCTATTACTTCTGTAGTGGTAGTTGAATTAGTTTTTCCTTATAAATATATATATATATTTCTATTTGAATCAGTATTTGTATCTCTATTAGTTTCTGTATAAATTTTTGTATTAGTATGTATACTAGTTTTTTACGTTAGTTTTCTTGTTAGTATATATATTAGTATTTTGTTTACTACAGATGTTATTATTGTTAGTAGTTGAATTTTTATTTGTATTGATATCTGTAGTTTTATTATTTATGTATTTTTGTATATTATTATTTTTATTATCCTTAATTATTATTGTATTTTATTTGCATTACTTCGAGCTGAACTTCCTTGGCTTCTATAGAAAATATACCCATACTAATATATATATATATATATATATATATATATATATATATATATATATATATATATATATATATATANTATATATATATATATATATATATATATATGTATGTATAGTTTCGTGGGGTTTGCAACTCGTTCCTCTTCCGGGTGGTGCAGCTTCAGCTCCACCCTGTGACGACTAAACCCATGCTAGTGTTGTCTATATACAGCTGGCTGTGTTGTTTGAATCTCTAGATATATATAAAGAGAATTAATTATTTGATAAATGTATTTAAAATTTCATAATTATGTTTCTCTTTTTTGTATTCTTTTTTGTATACACAAATGACAAGGGGGGCTGAGCTCACCGGCGGAAGACCATCGCCCCACTAACAGAGCGAAACTCCCCGCATACAGACTTGAAATACAAACTAAATAAACTGACCGTGACAGACGAAAACACACAGAGTTATATATTTCGTTGAGCTGTCGATACACCCGGTGGACCACTGACTGTGCAACGTCAGCCCGAGCACCGGGGGGGCTGTCTCGTGTTTCCTTCATTCTGTGCCTTTGTTTCCTGTTTTTATTTGTATTTTTCTGTTGTTTCTATCGATTAAACACCATATTTTGTCTGTATATAACTGGTGTTTCGCGTTTCTCCCCCCCAGCTGCCGCCTGAAACGCGCAGCCCGTCGTGCGCAGCCCGGCTCCGGCGGTTCGCCTCTTCGTATATTCTGTCGTCGGCAGCGGCGGCGACGACAGCATAAAAAAGAGAAGAAAATAGTAAAATAAAGTTGAATTGTTTGTACAGAGAAGAGAATACAGTTTTGTTTGGGCTGAAGAACCCCCAGCAGGAACGATGCATCGGCTGAAGGCCATCACCTCTCAGGTTTCCCATGCAGCGAAGTGAGTATTCATATACAACTAAAACATTCAAAGAGGGTTTGAGGTGTACGTACACCTGAGCTGTACAGTTGATTGGTGTTTTTTTTCTCTACTTAAGCAGCAACCAGCTGAGTTTTATATGTCTGTCTCTGCGTTTCTTCCGCACGAAAGCACCACAAATACATCTCCCCTACCCCCTTATCTGCTGCAGCTTGGGATCCTCAGATGATGTCGTCATCTGCTGCGCGATACGCACGCCACTGACGAAGGCCAAAAGAGGCGGTGGGTCCTGCGGTGTATAGACAGCTCGGCTCTGCTGCTCAGCACCGAGTCAAAGCCAGCACCTCTTCTATGCATTTGTTTTTTCGCTTGTTTGTTTGTGTGTTTGTTTGTTGGCTTCGTTTTTTCTTTGTTTCTTCGTTTGTTGTTCTCTGTGTTTCTCTATGTGTGTTTGTGTGTTTCTCTGTGTACATATACATGTGTTTCTTTGTTTGTTTATTTATTTTTTTTGTTTATTTATTTTTTTTTTTTTCAGGGTTTAAAGATGAATACCCTGAGACTTTGCTGAGTTTATTGTTTGAGGCCCTCATCAACAAAACTCGAATAAATCCAAATCTGATTGAGGATGTCTGCATCGGTGTGTTCATGTAGCCTCTGGCTAGCTGTCTATACACCTGAAAAATAAAAAAAAAAAAAATACAAACAAAACCTAAACTGCTGCTAGTTTTCTTCTCCTGTACTTCATTTCACATCTCTTTTTCTCTTTCTTTCGTCTTCTCCTCTCGATCTCTCTCTTTTATCTTTTTTTTTCTATCTCTGCGTTTTCTTTCTCTCTCTTTTCTTTCTCTCTTTCTCTTTTCTTCTTCTCTTTTTCACAGGCAACGTCCTGCAGCCTGGTGCTGGGGCCCTCGGGGCTCGAATTGCGGCTCTGATGGGGGGCCTCCCCATCAGCACGCCCGTGCATACCGTCAACAGACAGTGCAGCAGCGGCCTACAAGCAGTGGCGGCGATAGCAGGTGAGATCACCGCAGCAACAGCAGCAACAGCAACAGCAGCAACAACAGCAGCAACAGCAACAACAGCAGCAACAGCAACAACAGCAGCAACAGCAACAACAGCAGCAACAGCAGCAGCAGCACTGACGAACACTTGTGTCTGTATTCTCTCTGTTTCTTTCTGTTTTGTTTCTGTTGTTTCGTGTGCATATGCAGGCTCTATTGCTGCCGGTAACATCGATGTGGGTGTGGCTGGGGGCGTGGAATCTATGTCGCACTTTGAAATGACTTCGGCTCTGAATCCCGAAAAAATTTCAGAAAAAGTTTTTGAAAGTGAAAATGCAAGAAACTGTTTGCTGCCGATGGGAACAACTTCAGATGTAAGAAAAAAAAATGCAGAAACTTGTGGTTTCAGATTCAGGTGTATAGACACCTCA